ATTGGTCCAGTTGTGAGGATTTTTGTTTTCTTTATGTTGAGGTGTAATCCATACTGAAGGCTGTAGTCTTTGATCTTCATCAGTAAGTGCTTCAAGTCTTTGCTTTCAGCAATCAAGGCTGTGTCACCTGCATATCACAGGTTGTTAATGAGTCTTCCTCCAATCCTGATATCCAAAGATGGAATAGCTTTCCTTAGGAGGGCGCTCCCTCTTTGCTGGTCTTGAGTTAAGCAGAGTTAGCAGAGATGAGACATTTGTTGACTGGGGCTGTAGTAGAGGGGATGCACCCAGGAGGCAAAATGTGCCTGGACTACTATTTTGGAGGTTGGGCAAGCCTGGTTGAGAACCATAGCACCTTCTCTCTACCTACTGAGTTCCTTGAATTAGTGTGGTGCATGTTAGGACAGAAGGAAACCTGAAAAACCCATTCCTATCAAGTTGATTCTGACTCATAGTGACCCTACAGACCGAGAACTCCCCCCATAGGGTTTCCAAGATGTGGCTGGTGGATTCCAATTGCTGACCTTTTGGCTAGCACTGAGCTCTTAACCGCTGCATCAGCAGAGCTCCAGAGGGAAATCAGGCCTAATTAGAACAGACTACCTGTGGGGGGTGGTAGGAAGTAGTGGGAATGGGAAGGTTTGTCCTGGCAGGAGGGCCAGCGTGAGATCACTCAGATTCTCTATGGCTTTGGCGAGAGTAGTTGTCTGGGAGAGTCCCTCTTACCTGGTGGGATACTGATGCCTCACCAGGACCTGGGTGGGACATAGGGGAAGGCAGCACAGCATGGACAAATGATTTATTAAGTTAAAAGGGCCTGAGAATCACCTGGGAATCTTGCAAAAATATGGATTCTTGGGCCAGTGCTCAGAGCTTAATCTGATCTGGAGTCAGGCCCAGGAATCTGCATTATAACAACCTTCGGACCAACCACCTGGGTAGTTCTGCTGCAGTAGTCCCTACATAGAGTGACCAAATTATTGCCTAAATTAGGGTGCTTTTGAGAGTCAAAGTGGGCAATAAGAAAAACTACATCAGGCAGATGTAAACAAGGAATATTTCAGAACAGAGATAGTTATTCTGTGCATGAATCACACTTGAGAAAAGCTGGCATGGTGGTTAAGAATACAACCTTTGTGGAACTCTCTGGTGGGACTGTAAAATTCTTTAGCTGCTGTGGAAAAAAGCTGGGGGGGGGTCCTCAAAAAGTTAAACATAGAATTACCATATGACATAGCAATTCCACTGTTAGGTATATACCCCAAATAACTGAAAACTGGTATAGTCAAACAAATCCTTGTACATGAATGTTCAAGCAGCACTATTCACAATAGCCAAAAGGTGGAAACAGCCCAAATGTCCATCAATGGATGAATGGATAAACAAATTGTGACATATACATAAAATGGAATATTATTCAGCCATAAAAATGAAGTTTTGATACATGCTACAACATGCATGAACCTTGAAACTATTATGCTAAGTGATATAAGGCACAAAAGGCCACATATTGTATAATTCCATTTATATGAAATATTCAGAATAGGTAAATTCATAGTGACAGAACACAGATTGGTGGTGGCCAGGGACTAAAAGGAGAGGGCGATGGGAAGCAACTGCTTAATGGATAAGGGATTTCTTTTTGGGATGATGAAAATGTTTTGGAACTATATAGAGGTGGTGGTTGCACAACACTGTGAAGGTATTGTCACTGAACTAACTGTTCAGTTTAAAATGGTTAATTTTATGTTATGTGAATTTAACCTCAATAGAAGGGGTAGACAAGCCAGGTTCTGACCACTTACTTGTGTGATCTTGAGCAAGTTCTTTTATCTTTTTGATTTTTGATCTTCAGTCTCTTCATCTGGAAAAAAGAGCTAAGACTGCACATTTTGGTACAGGTTGCCATGGAACCATTTCTGTTCTGTGCAACCTTATCCTTTAACAATGTGCAAGTGTTTTTAATTATTCTGTGGAATATTTTATTTGATCATTCTTCACTTTAGACAGTTTATATAATGCTGCAGACTGCAATCTAGGAGCTAATGAGAGGATGTTATGTGCTTATTTCACCAGTTTTATAAAAGTTTAATCCTTCCCATTCTTCCTCAGTGAGAGATTGGATAGAAGGCACAACCTGGAAAAGCACACCAAGCAATACTTCTGTGTCAGGCTGCCTTTTATGTTCTGCCAGTACTTCCCAGGGAGATCCCACTACGAGTGGCCAAGCTTGCCTTGGGCATTACTGGCACAGAAGAACTTTCCCCACAGCTAGTCACATCCCCTTTTCCTCTCCCCTGGGAGCATAATTTTTTTTTTTTTTTCAGAATTCAAATCATTTTTTTTTTTTTTTTGCTTTAGGCGAAACTTTACAGCTCAAGTTAGTCTCTCATACAAAAATTTATACACACGTTGTTATGTGACCCTAGTTGCTATCCCTATAACGTGACAGCACACTCCTCCTTGCCACCCCGGATTTCCCATGTCCATTCAACCAGCTCCTATCTCTTTTCTGCCTTCTCATCTTGCCTCCGGACAGAAGCTGCCCATTTCGTCTCATGTATTTACTTGAACTAAGAGGCACACCCCTCATGAGTATCATTTTATGTCTTATAGTCCAGTCTATGAACAATTGCCTTCAGGAATCGTTTTAGTCTGGGTTAACAGAGAGTCCGGGGACCACGTCTTCTGGGGTTCCTCTAGTCTCAGACCATTAAGTCTGGTCTTATTAGAATTTGAGTTCTGCATCCCACTTTTCTCCTGCTCAGTCAGGGACTCTCTTTTGTGTTCCCTCTCAGGGCAGTCATTGGTGGTAGCCAGGTACCATCTAGTTTTTCTGGTCTCAGGCTGACGGAGTCTCTGGTTTATGTGGCCCCTTTTATCTCTTGGGCTAATATTTTCCTTGTGTCTTTGGTGCTCTTAATTCTTCTTTGCTCCTGGTGGGTTGGGACCAATTGATGCATCTTAGATAGCCTTTTGCTAGCTTTTAAGACCCCAGATGCCACTCACCAAAGTGGGATGGGAGCATAATTTTTAATTCTGTGGTAAAATTTATGTAACATTTGCCATTTTAACCATTTTTAAATGTACAATTCAGTAACATTAATTACATTCACCATGTTTTACAACCATCACCACTCTCCATTTCCAAATGATTTTCATCTCCCTAAAGAGAAACTCGGTACCTTGTAAGTAAAAACTTCCCACATCTCCCTAGTCTTGGTAACTACTAATAAATGTTTGTTTCTATGTATTTGCCTTTCTAGATATGTTAATGAATACTTTTTTGGGAGCAAAAAAATAAGATCTAAGTGGTTACAAATTAAAACATCAATTGAAAGGGCCTTTGTCCTACATGTAGTTTGGGGTCTGATTCTTCTTAAAGTTCACTAAATTCTGCCCCAATGGTAATTAGTATTAGGGGAGACCCATAAATTATTACTCAAGACATTATGTATTGTTAGAAATCATGACATGATACAAAGCCAAATTCCACTTTATTTTCATATGTCATATGAAAAACTACAGGCAGCCATGCTTGGCAGCTCAGCCTCCAATGCTGGCCAGCAGCTCACCAGGCCCTCAGGGAGGTGACAGCACAACCCAGTTCCTCCTGTTGCCAAGTGTGCTCAACCACACAGGACACAGGGAAAGACCCTTGTTCTGGCATCACATTTAAGCCAGCCAAAATCAGGTTTACTGGGGCAAAGGTTCTCTCACTGAGGACTCTAGTCCTGGAAGGCTTCTCCTCCGGCGAGCTGCCAGCTCAATTTTCTGAACCAGGCTCACATCCCATGGATGGGTTACAAAGCTGATGACAGTGCCTGGCACCTCACTCCCCACACGGCCCACCCTCCCTGCTCTGTGGATGTAGTCTTGCAGGGTGGGGGGGAAATCATAATTGACAACTAGCTCCACATGGGTGCTGTCCAGGCCCCGAGAGGCTATGTCTGTGCAGAGAAGTATGTCTTGGGAGCCCTTCTGGAAGCACTGGAAGATGCCTGTCCTCACTGAGGCTGGCATTTGCCCCTGCAGCCTTAAGTGTTGGATTTTGTGGTCATCTAGAATATATCCCAGCCAGTTCACAGCGGCGGAGCTATTACAGAACACCAGGATAGTTCCTGAGAGGCCAGTCCTATTTGCTCTGTCATGCTGCTTGAGGATCTGCACCAACTCAGTTACCTTCTCTGCTCCCTTGAGCCTCACAAATGTCTGTCTGACATGAGGCATGATGCAGTGGAGCTTGGAGCTGGTGATGGTGGTGAGAGAGTCTGGGCTGGTGACTTTACTCAGCAGCTGGCCCACACCTTCAGGAAATGTGGCGCCCACCAGCACCAGCTGAGCTTTGGGATTGAAAGGATCTTCTAAGTCAGCTGGACCTTCTGCTATATGACTCTTCTCCAAGATGTAGTCCACCAGTTCCAGGAAGCTCTCATCCAGCAGTGTGTCTGCCTCATCCAACACCAAGAAGGAAAGCTGCTCCAGGCTGACGAGTTGACTTTTCAGGGCCTTCCACAGAGCCCCTGGAGTGGCCACTAGCACATCTGCTGGAGGTTGTTTGGACAGTTGCAGTCTGATCTTATTCATGCCATGGCCTCCCCCTAGCTCTCGCACCTGCAGGCCCAAGGAGCTGCCCAATGCCTGGGCCACGGCTCGCACCTGTTCGGCCAATTCTCGGGAAGGCACGAGGACCAGGCCCCTGGGAGCCGGGATATGGCGGGAGTTCAGGCTGGGCCGGGCCAAGAGCCGTTGAAACAGCGGTAGGAGGTAGCCAAGAGTCTTGCCACTGCCGGTTTCCGCGGCGCAAAGGGCGTGGCGGCCGCGCAGTAACGGCGGGATGGTGCTCAGTTGCACGGTAGTGGGCCTAATAACTTCTGGCGCACCCTCCTGCAGTGCGCGCAGCACCCGGGGCTCCAGGCCCAGGTTCGCGAAACTGTCCTCGGACAAGAGATTCCGCAGCGCTGGGGCATCGTGCTGCGCGCGCTCGATGGAGAAGTGATCCCCCCGTGCGCGCCGACTCCTCCAGCCGCGTGAGGCAAGCGGCGCGCGCTCCCAACGGCCCAGGGTGAGGCGCGCCGGCTGGCTCATCTCCGGTCGCCGAGCCGAGACCAGCAGCGGACCCGGTCGCACTAGCACCGGCTGCGGGGGGCTCCGCCGCCCGCTCTGCCGTTGTTCCTGCCGCCGCTGTAAAGCCCGGGGGATGCGCACCACCGGCAGAGGCTCGTCAGGACCGCCGACCACCAAGTCCCGTCGGGGCGCCAGGACTAAACGAGCCGCGAGTGGTAAGACTCGCGTCAGCCGCGCCAGAGCCATCTTTTCTTCGGCGAAGTGGCGACGCACGGTAACGACGTCACTGGAGCGGCGCGGCCATGAGTACGGTGGCGGACACGGCTCAGGAAGGTTTGCGGAACTGGCGAACCGTGAGGAGGGACGATCCTTGTGGAGTTCAGTTGCGGCGAGGTCTGTTGTTCTGAGTAGGGGTTGGCGATGTCCAGGCCGGGCAGACGTTGGGCAAGCGTGCGCAATGGAAGCAGCACTGGGGACTGGCGACTTGAGGCTACGGGTGGGGCCCTGGCCTTATGGATCAGGAGGGCGGGTGGAGGGCTTCTGAATATTGGGTTCCCGGTCTCTGCGATTCTCCTTTTTCACCCTCATCGTCCCTGGGACGGTGTGGTCAGGGTCCGGGTCCCCCTGTAAGCTTCGAAGTTGAGACGATGTTTCACCAGTTGTCTCCGCGCAGCGTCTGGTGATCAATGTTTGTTGAGAGTCTGAATAAATGGTAGGCCTGGGGGCTAAGATAAAGGCTGGGTGTGGTAGATCTAGGCTCAAACCCGACTCTCCGTCCCCCAGGACTGCAGAGTTCAGAGAGAAAGTGGTGGCCTTCTGCTCATTCTCTTTGTGAAGTGGGAAGTAAGGTCTACAGGTTTTATCTCAAGTGGACCCATTTCTTTTTTAACACTTATTCTACCTTTTTTTTTTTTCCAGACGCTTTTCACTCTCCACTGTTTTGTCACTGTTCATGATTTCTCATTCTGAACCCACCACTCTTGAGGCCCACTCACCTCCACTGGCTTCCCAGTCAGATATCTAAATAGTTTGAATAGTAAGGGAAGGTCCTGCTACTACTGGTATGTAGCTTGTCTCATGTAGCCTTGTTCAGGCAGAATGTTTTACTTGAATTCTGATGTTCAGATTGGAAAAAAAACAAAACAAAACACAAAAAGAGAAACCCCTTCATTCTTCTTGAAGGAACAGATCAGGTAAATGGATGTCAGTTGTTTTCTGTAGTTCCCAGTGCCTGGGGTGGGAGATAAGGTAAATGTTTGTGAATTGACTAGCGGGAGGTTCTTGACATTTAGAGTCTACAGAAAGTGTTTTAGTTTCATCAAATACCATTAAAAATATAAGAAAGTTTAAAAATTTCAAATACTATTTTGATACACAAGGAAGTAGACTCTCTGGAGAATCATCAGTTAATCCCGGGAAGAGAGAGTTTTGAGGAGTGACAGGTGGACAGTCATTGGATAGAGCAATGGTTCTCAAGTGGGAATGATCTTGCCCATCAGGGGACATTTGACAATGGCTGGAGACAGTTTTAGTTGTCACATCTCGGGAGATGCTACTGGCATCTAGTGGGTAGAGGTCAGAGACGCTGCTAAACATCCTACAGTGCACTGGACAGCCCCCACAACAAAGAGTTATGAGTACCAAAATGTCAATTGTGCACTGTTGATAAACCCTGGGATAGAGGATGAATAAGGCTGAGATTAGCCACATGTTCTCTCACTTCAGGTAAACACATTTGCCAAACTCTTGTGCTGGCCCTGCCCCATCCTCAGAACTGTAGCAGGCATGCTAATGCCATTGTTTGTCATGTCCTTGGGATCAGGAATGTTGGGGCCCCTGATAATCATACATATGGGGAAGGAGTGATTCAAGAGGGTGAAACTGGAGAAGTTTAGGGAGAATAAAATTGTCCTAATATATTTGAGGAACATGTCATATAGAAGAGAGATGAGCTGTCCTGTGGGGTGCACCCTTCCAGAAGGCAGAACTGGGACCCATGCGTGACAGGGAGACAGATTCTGAACTTGATATAAAGAACTGCTGTAGCAACTAGAATTACCCAGAGCTGTCTTGAGTGTTCTGAGTTTCCTGTCATTGAAAGGTTCATGTACAGGCTGGTGACCACTGGTTGGTGGATAGGCTAGAGGGGAGTTGGCCTAAACCATATGACAAGATTTTGTGATTTTACGATTCTTAGAATTTAGGTCACTGTGTTCCCTAGCTAAATAGCTGCTTGGATGTCTGACCCAACAGGTTTCATCCATTTCTGTGTGCCACTATCTTTCAGATATAAAACAAAGAATTGCTTTGCACCAAGCCAGCACGGATACAGTGAAGGAATTATCAGAAAAGCATAATACATAGGTATGTATTTGCAATAGGGTTTTGTCCAAATATTTGGGGCAAGATAGCTGTTTATGGCTGCTTTCTCTTTGTACTTGTGTCCTTACAATATGATTACCTCACAATCTGATAGGAGTTAGAACCTGCCTGAGCCTGTCTCTGCTGTGACCCGTAATTTCTTCCTATTACTTTATCAGATGCTACCTGTGGCATCAGAAAATCTCTTTTCCTCCTGACCGAAGTAGACATTGAGTTGCCTCTAAGTTATTAGCATACATGTTACAGTGCTTTAGAAATAAAGATTTACTTATTGTTAAAAAAAAAAAAGTTTTAAACTCTTGGGGACAGTGGCTTACTTGGAGTATTTTTTCCCAGGGCTGCCATGGTAACTCATGTTGCCTGATTGTTCCATAAGCTTTAAATAGTATTGTTCCTTGGATCTCAGCTGATAACAGTACAGAGTCATTCATTCATTCAACAAACATTTACTGAGTACCATGTATATAGCAGGCACTGTTCAAACAGATGGTGAGCAAAACAGACAAAATCCCTGCCCCCATGGAGTTTACATTCTAATTTAATTGGTTGGGGTAAGACCTGCACATATGGTATATTTTAAAACCTCTCCAGATAATTGTAATATGCAGGCAGGTTTGAGAACCACAGTTATAAGTAAAGCACTTTGGACATTGTAAGGCCTTGCAAAAATAAAAAGTGGCTATTAGTATTCCTTTACTATCCCTCCATTTTCCTACTTGCATCAGGACTGTTGTACAAGTGCCATTCTTGTTTGCAGCATTCTCCTGTCATTACCTTGGTCTCAGCCCTTGTCACTGTATGTGTCAACTCTTTCACCATCTTTCTAACCAAGCTCCCTACCTCCTTCCTGCCTCCCACCCTCTAGTCCATCATCTGTTGCCTGAGTGATCTTACTAAAGCACAGCCATGGCTGTGTCACCCCTTGATGCAAAAGCCATCAGTGGATCCCCATTGTCTACAGATTCTCTCCTAATCATTGTCCAGAATCTGGCTCCAACTTCATCTCCTGCTGCTTCCTTACCTGAATCTTGTTCACTCAAGTGGTGGCTCCCATGCAAGTTAGACAAAGGGCTTGTAGTTCTTTACTGGGTAAGCCAGGGAGTTGGGTAGTAATTCGTCTGCTCTATAACCAAACATGAGGTATGGCAGTATCAGTGCAGTTTGGCTGTGATAGAGCACTTCTGTGGCTGAAGCAGGAACCGTATTGCAGCTTTCATTATCAATTGGCCTTTTAATGCCTTTTTACAACAAACACTAAGCCGCTACCTTATGCCAGATTGTGTGCTCTGTGGTGAGAATCTGATGATGAACAAGGCCCAGTGCTTGCCCTCACCTTATGGTGGGAGAGGCAGACTGACAGACGGTCACGTGAGTATTTTCTGTGCCAGGAGAGAAGTAAGCTTAGAGGAGGAGCCCTTATGCTGTGTTTGGGAAATGTGGGTCAGGGAAGGCTTCCTGGAGAAGGTGACATTTGTGCTGAGTTTTGAAAAGCTTTTGGGAGTCAGCCAGGTGCAGGAACAGGGATGTGGCTCCTAGGCAGGGGCAGCTTATTTAGAGACTCCAAACTGAGAGAGAGCAGGCCAGTTTGGGGAACTATAAATACTTCAGAATAGCTGAAGCTTAGAGTAGGGTAGTTAAGAGGCAAGGGCAAGTGATGAAAGATAAGGAGATGAGGCTTCTGTGGAAGGTAGGGCTAGACCCTGTTTGTGATGTTAAGGAACTTTATCAGCAGTGGGGAAGCCTTCCAAGGATGGAAATGTCACGTCCTGGTTTGTGTTTAGAAAGACCCCTCTGGCTGTTGGAAGGAGCATGGATTGGAAGACATGAGCCTGGAAGCAGAGAGACTGGTTTAGAGGCTGTTACCAACGTTCAGGTGAGAGATGATGGCAGTGGCAGAGCCGAGAAGCTCCTTGAGGTCAAGAGTTTAGTAATTTCCATTTCTTTGCCTCTAATACCTCGCAAAGTACCTTGATACTAAAAGAGCTAATAGATGTTTGTTGGTATAGCAGTAGACTTAAGAGCATGTGGAAGGTGTAAAAGCCTGATAATGGAAACAGTTAATGTTTATTAAGCCCTTACCGAGTGCCAGGAACTGTGGTAGCAAATACTTTAGGTGCATCACCAAGTTTACTCCCCACAGAATCCCCCTGACTAGACTCTGTTGGAGCCTCATATCCCAGAGGGAGAAGTTGGGGCTTGGCTGGGTTAATCTGACCAGGAGGTAGAACTGGGATTTAAATGTAGGCCTGTCTGATTCCAGAGTCCAGAATCTTCACCATGATATGCTCTATCACCTCTTTCTCTTTCAAATATAGTATGTTGCTTTAGCTTTTTCTCACACATTTTCAGTGGGAAGTAGGAAAACTCTCTAAATATTTAATCACGATTGACTTTCATTTTAACTCTAAATCTGTATTTTATAGAAATTGGTTTTTTAGTTAGGTCTTAGTTTTTGCAAAAATTGACATGAGAGGGATTGGTGAAGTTTTTCTCATTCATTACTTTCCCTGAATAGTGTTATGTTCAGTCTGAAAGCATTCTAATTAATGAGATGTTATCTCCACCCAGCTGAAGTGAAGGTTACTGTCTGAGAAAGAAATTGGGAGTAATCAAAATGGAATAGAGAAATGTAATCAGTGTTATTGAATTGTAAATGTGGAAGTTATACTGGCAAATGTTTTGCTGTGTGTATTTTCACCACAAAAAAAAAAGAAAAATGTAATAGAGGAGATCAACCCTTAAAAAGGAATGGTACAAGAGATTATTTGAGAATGTGTGACTGTAATGGGGATCTGAGTGTGACCTCAGGGCAGGGTGAGTGTTTGTAACAGTAACTGGGAAATGGGTGGGAACTTAGAGGTAATTGGTAACTTTCACCCTTGCAGTTTGGTAGAGTAGCGGAGATGGGTGCCAGGCTGGAATGGGCTGAGAAGTGAAAAGAAAGTGGAGACAGTATCAGTACTCTGAGAGAACACACTTTGTGACTTTTCAGAGCAGCCATATTTTGTTAGAAGAAATTAATAACAGTAGTTCTCCCTGGGACATGTGATTTTGATTTTCTTCTTTTTATTTGTGTTGGCTCTACCTTTCAAAGAATTTCTTGAATGTGACCACCTCCACTACCTGCTACCAGGTCTAAGCCACCGTCATGTCTCTCACTGATTACTTCATAGCCATCTAACTGGTCTTCCTGCATGTACCCTTGCCTCTTAGACTCTGCTCTTAATAACAGCAGTCAAAGTGATCATTTAAAAACATGAGTCAGATCATGCCACTCCCTTACTTAAAACTCGCTGTTGTTGTTGGGTGCCGTCGAGTCGATTCCAGCTCATAGCGACCCATGTGACAAAGTAGGGTTTTCTTGGCTATGATCTTTATGAGAATAGATCACCAGGTCTTTCTCCCTTGGAGCCGCTGTGAACTACCAGTGTTTTGGTTAGCTGTCGAGCACGTAACTGTTGTGCCACCAGGGCTCCTTCTAAAACTTGTTACTGGTCCCTATTTTATGCAAAGTAAATAAAGTCCTTAGAAATGTCCTGCAAGGCCCTATGTGATCTGATCACTGTCCCCATCTGCATGTGCTAATACATCGGTTCATCTGACATTTATCACCCTGTCTTCCTCTCTCTGTTCCAGCCACATTGGCGTCCTTGCTGTTCCTCTAGCACACCAGACAAGCTCCTGCCTCTGGGCCTTTGCACCGGCTATTTCCTCTCCTGTCACTCTTTCACCAGATACCAACTTGACTAACTCCTCAAGCTCCTTCAAGTCACCTTCTCAATAGGGCCCGGCTTGACAGTGCTATTGAAAATTTCAGCCCACCCCCAGCATTTTTTCTACTTTCTCCCTGCTCTTTCATTCTACAGTGCTACCAGCTTTTCATAATTTATTTATTTGTTGTGTTTATTGGTTTTTGTCTGTGTTCCCCTGATGGAATGAAAACTCTACCAGAGCAGGGATTTTTGTCTGTTTTGTTTTCTAATGTATCTCAAGAGACTGGAACAGCAACTGGCATACACTAGGCACTGAAAGTAAAATAAACTATGTATTGAAAGGAAGACGGAAAGCCTGCCCAGGTTAACAGAAGAGATTGTCTCCATTTGGATTTCTGACTCTTGTTTTTCCCTTCATCAGGCTGTAGCAGAGGAGGAATGATTGTGAACAGCCTCTCACTGTGCTACCACAACAAACTCATCTTAGCCCCCATGGTTCGGGTAGGGACGCTTCCAATGCGACTGCTGGCCCTGGATTATGGAGCGGACATTGTTTACTGTGAGGTAAGGGGCTCCTGATTTTCCCAGAGAGCTTTTCCACAAGTGTAGCCTCTCCCTTTGTGTGTCGGCGTGGTCAGGAGTTGGGGCAGGCAGGATGGGAACTCACTTCACAGGTGCTGATAGAAGGTGAGAGGAGACAACCATGCACAGTTCTGTGAGCCCTGCTGTAAAAATGGCATGGGGGTGTTGACCTCTGACCTCTCAGTTCAGGGGAAGAAGAGAGAATCACCAGTAGCATCAGCCCAAGACTGATTCCTATGGGTGGAGGTCAAAAAAAGCTCTACCCTCCAACCTTTTACCAGTTCTGAAGCCAGCTGTCCTTCCCACAGCACTCTCTACTTCTCTGCTGGGTTCGATAATTCATTGCAATGGCCAAACAGAACTCACAGACTATACTCACAGTTATGGGGTTTATTAGGGAAGTAACAGGTACAGCTCAGTATCAGGATCAACAGGCTGCAACTCAGGATCAGGATCAGGATCAGGAAGCATGCAGGTAAAATCTCCCTTCTTCAGTGCAGGACAGCTCTCTTAGCTCATCTCAGCTGTACAGGGCTCCTTTCAGTGCCCTGAGGACAGGCTTCCCCTGGCCCCTCGGCCCTTGGCCTGGCCTTGGCCCTGCTCAGTCAAGTATTAACAGCTCCTTAGTTCCTCCAATAAGTTCCTGGAGGCACCCCTACTCTGTCAGGAAGCCTCCTGCCTGAAGGCACCCAGTTCTCTTGCTCCGTAGATTGGCACACCCACTGTAGCCGCCTCACTTTGTGAGCCAGGAAGTCCACTGTGCCATCTCGTGTCAGTCTCCTGGTTCTGCTGCCACCATTTCTCTGCTGCTGCTTCTTGCCATCTCACACTGTCTCTGGTGTTACACGTCTTTGTCTCGTGGGTCTAGGAGGTTCTCAGTGCAGGGAGCTTGGATCCAAAGGACATGCTCCACTCCTGGCTCTTCTTTCCTGATGATAGTGAGGTCCCCATCTGTCTTGGTCATCTACTGCTGCATAACAGAAATACTACAAGTGGATGGCTTTAACAAAGAGAAGTTTATTCTCTCACAGTCTAGAAGGCCACAAGTCCAAATTGAGGGCATCAGCTCCAGGGGAAGGCTTTCTCGCTCTGTTGGCTTTGGAGGAAGATCCTTGTCATCAGTCTTCCCCTTGGTCTAGGAGCTTCTCTGTGTAGGAACCTCAGGTCCAAAGGATGCGCTCTGCTCCCGGCACTGCTTTCTTGGTGGTATGAGGTCCCCCACTCTCCACTCTCTTCCCTTTCCGTTTATCTCTTGTAACATAAAAGGTGGTACAGGCTACACTCCAGGGAAACTCCCTTTACACTGGATCAGGGATGTGACCTTAGTAAGGCTGTTACAATCCCACCCTAATTCTCTTTAATGTAATCTAATCTTGCCTCATTAACCACAGGCAGAGATTAGGATTTACAACACATAGGAAAATTACAATCACAAAATGGAGGATAACCACGCGATACTGGGAATCATGGTCTAACCAAGTTGACGTACATTTTTGGGGGACACAGTTCAATCCATAATACCGTCATGCTTACGGAATTGGCTCCCTTTAAGCCTAACAGGATGACAAAACTGACCAACCCCCTTGTTAGGGTTCCATACACCTTATTTGCATAGTCCCACCCAGTTGGTGTGTGGGAGTTACAAGACTATGCATGGCTAAAAGGGCCATATTAAGTAATTCACTGCACTGCATCTATTAAGGGACAGGAGCCTGGGGAGGGCTGAGGCATCATGGGACATCCTAGATGGGCGGATGGATGAGCATAGTGTCAGGTCATGCCCTGGCCCCCTGTAGGAATCAGTATACATTCAGTATGTGAATGATTGAACTCAGGAAAAGGACCAGATTCAGGCCAGGGACACTGGGTGAGTTTGGTTGAGGTAGCCATAGGATTTTCTGGTGTGGTAGCTAGTGGGACAGTAGATGTACTTGCCTATTGCTCTGGAGAATATTAAGGTTTCAGACCCAGGTTTAGAAAGCATCTGCTAGGACAAATAGAATTGCAGGATTAACTGATATTGGATAGTGAGGGAGTGGGAGCAGAAGCTCTAAATTGGGCATGTATCGGAATTATTTGGGCACTCCCCCCCAGTCCCCAATCCTGATATGTCCCCATCGTGGGTATGAGAAGCTACCCAAGTCCTTCTGATATTTTCATTCCACTAAGTTTAAATGGTCTGGTGGTGGGGGTGAGGTGAGGAGGTGAGCGATGCTGTGTAAGGGCAACACAAAGGATCCCTGTGGTGATGGAACTGTTCTGTGTCTTAGATATCAATGTAGATACCCTGGCTGTGACGTTCCACTATAATTGTGCAAGATGTTACCATTGGGTGAAACTGGGTAAAGTGTACATGAGATCTCTCTCACAGTCTTAACAGCTGCATGTGAATCTACAATTATAATAAAAGTTTAATTAAAAAAGTCGACTGGTGTGGAGAGAAGGAACTGACCTGCCAGGCTGCAAACCCTCCACTGGTCCCTTCTTTGAGAAGTCTTAGGGATGTTTTCAGGTACTTCGGAAGTCATGGGCTCAGGATTTATGTAATGACTTCAGAATGTGGCCCTTCTAATTGAGCACAACTTGATTTCCCTAATGGACATGACCACCAGAGGTAACCCTTCCCTTCAGCGCCCTGCTCGAGTTTGGAGCAGAGGAAATACTGATTCAAACTTTTTGGCATTGTTCAAGGCAGTCTTATTCTAGGAGGATCAGTGTGGCTTACGAACAAACAAAAGAGCCTCTGCCTTAGGAGACCTAGGCCTGCCACCCAGGCCTAGCCCCTGTGGGGAGTCAGGCAGGCAGGCAGGCCCCTGCTTGGCTTGGGAAGTGGCTGGGGACTGGACCCCGAATGCTGGGCTTGGCACAGCATGGTCCCTGGTGCCCCTGGTATATCCAGCGTTGCCCTACAGGGAGAAGCAGTCTGGCCAGCACAGAGGACCAGCTGCCTCGATGATCTTGTCTGGTTCACATGATGTGGTCCGTGTGTAGGACTAGATAGGCAAACCGCCCCACCTACCTCACAGGACCAAGCATAGGACCTATGGGCATAACAGGAATGTAAGCACTTCCTGTCGCTATATACACCCGTGTTGTTGTTGTGTGCGGTTGAGTCAATTCCAACTCATAGCTACACTATAGGACAGAGTAGAACTGCCCCATAGGGTTTTTGTTGTTGTTGTTGTTGAGTATATACACAGCAAAATGTACACCAGTTCAACAGTTTCTACATAGATAATTCAGTTACATTGGTTACATTCTTCGAGTTGTGCAACCATTCTCACTCTCCTTTTCTGAGTTGTTCCACCCCCATTAACATAAACTCGCTGCCCCCAAGGTTCCTATCTAATCTTTCCAGTAGCTGTTGGCTCTTTGATCCTGTGTAGATGGTTCTTAAAAGAACATAATGCTCAAGGCAGACATTTTTTACTAGTTAAGTGAAACTTAAAAGAACATAATGCTCAAGGCAGACATTTTTTACTAGTTAAGCTAAATTTAAAAGAACATAATGTTCAAGGCAGACATTTGTCACTAGTTAAGCTAAACTTAAAAGAACATAATGCTCAAGGCTGACATTTGTCACTAGTTAAGCTAAACTTAAAAGAACATAATGCTCAAGGCAGACATTTTTTTGCTAGTTAAGCTAAACTGTTGTTTGGTTTTAAGAAGACTTCAAGGGATATTTTGGTTTAAGTTTTAAAGATTATCTCGGGGCAATAGTTTCAGGGATCCCATAGGAGTTTTTTTTTTTTTTTTAATTTTTTTCTTTTTTTAATGTGCTTTAGGTGAAAGTTTAGAGAAAATTAGTTTCTCATTCAAAAATTGGTACACAAATTGTTTCGTGACATTGGTTGCAATCCGTGCAATGTGTCAGCACTCTCCCCCTTTCCACCCTGGGTTCCCTGTTTTCATTTATTCAGTTTTCCTGTCCCTTCCTGCCTTCTTTGCTTTTGAGTAGTTGTTGCCCATTTAATCTTGTATACTTGATTGACCGGAGGAGCCCATTTCTCACGTGTGTTATTGTTTGTTTTATAGGGCTGTCTAATATTTGGCTGAAAGATGAACTTTGGGAGTGGCTTCAGCTCTGAGTTAGGAGGGTGTCCAGGGGCCATAGTCTTGGGGGTTCCTCCAGTCTCTGTCGGGTCAGTAAGTCTGGTATTTTGTAAATTTGAATTTTGTTTTACATTTTTCTCCTGCTCTGTCTGGGACCCTCTATCATGATTCCTGTCAGAGAGTTCGGTGATGGTATCCAGGCACTGTCTGGTTCTTTTTAGCTAAGGCTGGTGGACTCTGTGGTCCATGTGATCCATTAATCCTTAGAACAAATATTGCCTGTGGTTTTGGTTTTCTTCATTCTCCTTTGCTCCGGACGGGATGGGACCAATAGATGTATTTTAGATGGCCGCTCGCAAGCTTTTAAGACCCCAGATGCTACGCACCAAAGTTTTTTTATGGTCTGTGTTACGCCAAGTGACCTAGATTTCCCCTGAGACCATGGTCCCCAGCCCTCAGCCCCAGTAACTCAGTACCTCAAGGTGTTTAGATGTGTCTAGGAAGCATCTGTGACTGTGCCCGATTGTGCTTTGTTTTACATGTATGAATATACATGCCATACATACAAATATGTATGTAAAAATATCCACACTCTAATCTATATATGTACGTGGGTATACTCCTATATGCCCTCCTTCCCCTATTCAGCATTTGTATCTGCCTATGTATTTGCTTGTATGTTATTATTTGTTTTTCCTGTTTTTTTAGGGTTGTATATGCTATTGTATTTACCGTGGTTGCCTCTTTTGTGTGTGTGTGTGTGTGTGTGTGTGTGTGTGTGTGTTCCTCTGAGTGTCTTCCTTTGCCTTGGTCAAGCTGCGCTGATTTTCCCTATGTTGTGTACTGTCTTTTCCTTCACCAAAGTTAAGACTTGTCTACTGTCTGGTTAGTGATTTCCCCTCCCCACACTCCCCTCCCTCTTAACCATTAAAGATTGGTTTGTTCTGTGTGTAAACCTTTTCTTGAGTTTTTATAATAGTGGTCTCATACGATATTTGTCCTTTTGTGATTGACTTATTTCACTCACAGAATGCCCTCCAAATTCATCCATGATGTGAGATGTTTCACAGATTCAACGTTGTTCTTCATCATTGCCTAGTATTCCATGGTGTGTATGTTCCATAATTTGTTTATCCATTCATTTGTTGATGGGCACTTAGGTTGTTTCCATCTTTTTGCTATGTGAATAATGGGTATGCATATGCCTATTCGTGTGATAGCTCTTATTTCTCTAGGATATATTCCTAGGAGTGCCCATAGGGTTTTTAAGGCTATAATCTTTATGGAAGCAGACTGCCACATCTTTCTCCCACAGAGCGACTGGTGGGTTTGAACTGCCAATCTTTTGGTTAGCAGCTGAGTACTTAACTGTAGAACTAAAATGAATAAAATTGATAAACATTAGTGTTGGGGGCATGTGGGTGAACAGACGGACTTGTGATTTTTATTGGTGACAATTTACATTAATTTAACCACTTTACAAAAGTTGAACATCTGCTATGTATAAGGCCCTGAAACCAAGATGTTTAGTAAGCATTTGTAACATGCTAGATATAGTGATTCAGAGATGAGTGAGACACTGTACATACTCAAAGACTCTTTAAGTGTAGCTGGGACATGGAGAAGAAAAGCAGGTATCTCAAGGACCATTTTGCCTCAGTTCCTCCTCTTGAGGCTCAGGCTACCTGGGCAAGGCTCTCAATGCTCACCTTTGTATGGGCACAGGACCTTCCTCAAGGAGTTCATAGTCTATTGGTGAAGCTACAATAGGTGCACCTGTACCTAGCAAACGAAGAAAAATCAGTAAGGATATGAAGGTGGAATTGTCAAGGGACTTTGGGAATCTTGAGAAAGACAAGTTTCTGCTTGCAGAGCTGGGGCACCAGCAAGGGCTTGCCTACTTCACCTGCTCGTGTCCCAGCTAAAGCTCAGCCTGGCTGCTGAACTTCTTATGAACACAGGCCTCTCGTGGTTGCGCACTTGTCCATCTGCCTTCTTTGTTTTTTTCTTTTCATACACACATAATTTTTTTTTAAGTAGTTTATTTTATTTTATTGTTGTTGAGAATATACATAGCAAAACATACACAAATTCAACACTTTCTACATGTACAATTCAGTGACATTGATTACACTCTTTGAGTTGTGCAACCATTCTCACCCTCCCTTTCCAAATTGTTCCTCCCCCATTAACATAAACTCACTGCCCCCTAAGGTTCCTGTCTAGACTTTCAAGTTGCTTTTGTCACTTTGATCCCATATAGATAGTTCTTAAAAAATCATAATGCTCAAGGCAGATATTTTTTACTAGTTAAGCTAAACTATTGTTTGGTTTTAAGAAGACTTCAGGGGATGTTTTTGGTTTAAGATTTCCAGATTATCTCAGGGCAATAGTTTCAGGGCTTCATCCAGCCCCCATGGCTCCAGAAAGTATGGAGTCCATGAGACTGTGAAATTCTGTTCTGTATTTTCCCTCTTTTGATCAGGATTCCTCTATAGAATCTTTGATCAAAATGTTCAGTAATGGTCGCCGGGCACCATCCAGTTCTTCTGGTCTCATGGCAAAGGAAGCAGTTGTTCACGGAGACAATTAGCCACACATTCCATTTCCTTCTCCTATTGCTAACTCTCCTTCTCCTTTGTTGCTCCAGTTGTTGTGCCTTGGATGGCAGCTTGCAAGCTTTTAAGTGTCCATTTGCCTTCTTACCTGTCTCTGCAACTAGGATGACTGGCTACAGGTGGTCTGTGCTGGGCCCTGCTTATCCCTTGGGACACCACACTGGCTTTTGGGGCTTGGATGCCAACCATGTTTCCACACTGCTTGCTGATGGTTATTTCCTTGGTCAGGACCAGAGGGCGGCAGATACTCAGTGACCCAAGTGTGACTTGGAAAGAGTAGCCACAAAAGCATCTAGAGTGTGTTATTAACCCTGAGGGTGGTGTTAAGGTGACAGTCCCATTCCCCATTAAGTCTGCAATGCAGGTCCTTCCCCCATGCCCAGGATTGACTGGTGCCCTCTGATTCCTCCCCAGGAGCTGATTGACCTCAAGATGCTTCAGTGCAAGAGAGTTGTCAATGGTGAGTGCAACTCTGGCCCCAGGATTGTGTGCGTGGCTAGCTAGGCCCAAGCAACACTGCCACTGCCGTTGACCAGGAGTGACAGTGTCCTGCAGGGGCTCTTCCTGCCTGGTTCAATCGTGTGGTTTTGTAGATCACGTGCTCCTTTGATAACGGTCACAGCTCTCCAGAGACCATGACAAAAAGCCAGATGTGAAACAGGCTAAGAATGCCTCCCTTGCATTGGCTTGCTGGCGTAGAAGTTGCCGTGTTTCATTGTAGAGCAGAGACCTTTGGAGCCTTGGAGTCAAGATGGCTTTGGCACTGGTCCTAGCTCTGCTACTTGCTAGCCGTGTGAATTTGGGCAAGTCATGTGACCTTTCTCTGCCTCAGTTTCTTTATCTGCAGAATGAAAACCACAATCCCTGCTTTACTTACTCTACTCATAGGGTTGGAGTGAGCATCAAATAAGATAAAGTACCTGTAAGTACGTTTTGCACATTAAACTCTGTGCAAATGGAAGTGGTTGAGATGAATTGTGGTTTTGCTTATACTTAATTGATGAGGCTGATTCTGCTTTGATTAGAGTTGTCATATTGTTTGAGGTTTTTGAAATGTATATATACTTGTGGAATCTAAGTTTACTGGAAGTTATGACTCTATTTTACCTTTTTTTTATTATGGAAAATTTCCAATATACATAAAAGTAGCGAGAATAGTATTTCTCCTCCCATGTACCTATCACAGCACTTCCACATTATCAGCATATGGCCAGTCTTGTTTCATGTAAACTCATTCCTACTTCAAACTGAATTATTTTGAATCGAATCCCAGTCATCATATCACTTCATCTGTAATTATATGGTCTATATTGTTAAAAAGGAGCCCTGGTGGTGCAGTGGTTAAGCACTAGGCAGCTACCCGAAAGGTCGGTGGTTGAAACCTACCAGTGCACTCTGTGGGAAAAAGGTGTGGCAGTCTGCTCCTGTAAAGATTACAGCCTTGGAGACCTTATGGGGCAGTTCTACTCTGTCCTGTAGGGTCACTATGAGTTGAAATTGACTTGACAGCAATGGGTTGTGTTGCTAAAACATAAGGATTCTTTTAAAAAAAACATAACCACAGTAACATCATCACATCCCCAAAAAAATCAATGATGATTCTTCATGTCAATAACTATCTGGTTAGTGTTCAAATTACATCAGTTATAATTTTCAGTTTTTCTTTTACTGTTTTAGATTTAAATTTTTTTTGTATTATAAAAAATTCAAGTACTACAGATCTATATAAACTAGAAAATGAAAAGCCCCCGTATTCCCACACCTCAAGCGGTAATCACAAAGAAATCATGTACATTCCTTGAGATTTTTTTCTACATGTATATGTACTAACGTGTGTATAAAAATGACATTTATATATACTTTGCCCCCAAATGCAATTGTATTATCCATGTTTTTTAAAATTATTATTATTGTGATAAAATATGTATAGTAAAGCATTTGTCATTTCAACCATTTTTGTGTGTACAGTTTAGTGACATTAATTATGTTCACCATGCTGTGCAACTATCAGCATTGTCCACTGACACATTTTGTTTTGCCACTTCCTTTTCTACTAGGACATTTTCCAATGTCAGTACCTATAGACATCTATGTCAGAATTTATTTTACCAGTGCCTTAAAGGAGGTTTCCAATACTATGCTGTTATACATAAAGCTGTGTTATAAACTCATCATGTTTTTGTAGTTCTTCTCTCAGACTCCTTACTGCCAGCCATGAGTTCTCTCACTGTCAGGGGGTCACTTCTGTTACTATTACCCTTCGCAATATGTTATCGCCTTTACCCTACCCTTTTCAACCTCTTCTAGTTTGTTCAGAGGAGCCCTGGTGGCACAGTGGTTAAAGTGCTTGGCGCTAACTGAAGAGTCTGCAGTTTGAACCCACCAGCCGCTCCATGGGAGAAAGATGGGGCAGTCTACTTCTGTAAAGATTTACAGGCTTGGAAACCCTATGGGGCAGTTCTGCTCTGTAGAGTTGCTATGAGTCTCAATTGACTCAACGGCAGTGGAGTTGGAATTTCTTCAGTGCTGGGTTGATAATAACAGCTTCTATTTATGGAAGTGCTTATGTGCATTAAAAGTCTAGTTTAATTCTCAAAAAAGCTTTTGAGGTAAGAATATTCCCTGTTTGCCACCTTGGATCTCTTTCATGTAGCATTATATTCATCTTTGAAAGCTAACAATGGTAGTACCTATCATAGAGGTTCGTTATGAACAGCAAATGAGATAATATAGTAAATCTCCACTCATGGTACCTGGCACATGGTAAATAATTAAGAAACTACCTTTGCTGAACTCCAGACTGACTTCTTCTGGGAAAATTTGGGCAAAATCTGAGACACAGACAAATTTTGATGTATGTATACTTTTTTCCACCATGTAGAAAATTTTGAAGTGTAACAAGCATACAGAAAAAGTGCATAAAACACAAACAGGCAGTTTAACAAATAATTGTAAAGGGAACAGCCATGTAGCCATCACCCTGATAAGGAAGCAGACCATCAGCAGCACCTGAGAAGCCTTCCATGTATACACTTTTTCTTTAAGAAGTGGTGCCCTTCTAGGATCCCTTTTTTCCCTTCAAGGTGATGATTTGGCTGTGTTTTCTTCCAAAGATTAGGCTAGGTTGAACTTGCTTCTTAATTGGGTGACCCCTGTGTTTGTGTTTTCTCGCAGAGGTGCTTAGCACAGTGGACTTTGTCGCCCCTGATGACCGAGTCGTCTTCCGCACCTGTGCGAGAGAACAGAGCAGGGTTGTTTTCCAGTTGGTAAGAGATCCCACTACTGAAAGTCAAGCTATAGCAGTCTCTTATATTCCTCCTGTCTCAAATTTAATTTATTTACTTATAGCAATTGCCCGTTTGGCACAATTTATATAGTTATTTTTTAAATTCCTAGCATAGGTTATTATTCAGATTATGGTCTTTATTTTTAATGTAGTTTATGTTTGTTTCCTTTAAAAAGAAATTAGGTTTTTCTCCAAGAGTAGTTCGGGTATGCGTTAGGGTTGTGATGACCCTATAGTCCTCTTCTCCCTATCATTTGCCTGACACTCTGCTTTGGGCATTTCTTGGTGCTTTTTCAGAAGTAACTCCTGTATAATGTTTAGGTTTTTTAAAAGTGGGTAACAATGGCTAGACATGCGATAAGGCAAATATAGCAAAATGTTAATTATAAAATCTAAAACATGGGTATATGAATGTTCACTATAAAATTCTTTGGGCTTTTCTATATGTTCGAAAATTTTCATAATAAAATGATGGGGGAAAATCAGTAAGTCATCACAGCATTGATGCCATTTTCTAGGCCCTCAAGGTTTACTTTTTCCCTCTGGAGTGAGCTAGTCCAGTGGGCTAACCATTGAAGAGAACACAGCCTGACTCCATTTGCTGACACGCGTGTGTGTGTGGTATGATAGGTGTGTTTGTACATGTGCACTTTTGACAGGGTGGTGGTTGATGCAGCCTCTTGTGTTCCCAGGGGACTTCAGATGCAGAGCGAGCCCTTGCTGTGGCCAGGCTGGTGTAAGTTCTTCCCTCTATGGGACTGCCTTTGCCTCTCCTGTGGGCTGTGGGGCCTAACGTCACTGGTGACCTTGGTAGTAGCCCACCCTTCTGCCACCCTTCAGCCCATGACCTCTGATACGAGCTCCAGAGTGTCTGGCTTTTTTCTCTGCTCATGGCATTTGAGGCCTGATCTGGGACTTATGTATCCACTGTGCCCAGATCCCAGAGAACCTCTGTGTAGGGCATTTTTTAGTGTTTATTCATGAGACTCCCTTTCCAGGGACTCACGACTATAAGTCCTGAGGGTTTAAATCTCTTGAAGTGTAGGTAAGAGTTACTGTTTCTTAAATTAAGGAAGGTAGGATACTACAGTGGTTAAGGGGATGGGCTTTGGAGTTAGACTGGGCTGGAATTCTGACTTTTTGACTTGTTATCTGTATGACCTTAGGCAAGTTATGTAAGCTCCCAAGCTCGCTGATAACTTAGTTTCCTTGTCAATAAAATGACACTAGTAACTAGTAAGGGGTTTATGAGCACAGTTCCATACCTCTGGCATTATAGAGAAGGGTGAATGAGATAATGTAAATACCTTTGCAGTGTGTGTCACATAGTGAGTGCTTAGTAAGGATCAGCTATTGTTATTAAATACAGTAAGAGTGAGGAGGAACTCAGGCAGTAATTGCTGCTGATCACAGGGTGTTAACCGCATACATAGCACAGGATGAGGTGAGGGTGCTTTATACATCTGAGAATTGTTTGGAGTAAGCTAACTGTGCAGCTCAGCAAACAGGCAACCCTGGAATTTTAGCCAGAAGCAGTGCTCTGGAAAAGGACTCTCATGCCCATGTCACTTTTCTACATTGACAGAATGACTTCACTACCCCAGTCAGAACTCTGGGATCGAGGTTAGTGCACCTGTCACTTGGTGTTTGAGTTATCTGATACAAGTCTAAAATGGCAAGGTCCTCTCCAACCAGTCCTTTACATAGCACATTAAAGGGCCGGTTGTGGAGTTTGTCCTCTTGAGCTCTGCTCAGATGAGATGTTTACACATTGCAGGGAGAGGTTCCTTTTCAGCTTTTGTTATTGAAGGTTGGTGTGTCTCATAGGGCCAAGGACACAGTAAGCAGTTCATGAGCACAGCTCCATACCTTTGACTCTATCTTCTTCCCTCAAGTTGAATATTCATTACATTTCCTCCTTCGTGTTTTTCCAGAGAAAATGATGTAGCTGGTATTGATGTCAACATGGGCTGTCCAAAAGAGTATTCCACCAAGGTAAACTGATTTTTTTGTACTCTTCACAAATATAGGATGCAGATCAAAGGAAGCTAACAAGACATGACAACCAAGTGCAATATGTGACTCTGGACTGGACCCTGTCCTGGGTGGGCAAAATGCTTGAAAGGACATTATTAGATCAACTGGCAAAATTGGAACATAGATCTTGGTAGATTAGATCAAAGTACTATATCATTATAAATTTATGAAGTTGATAACTCTTCTGTGGTCAGGTAAGAGAATATCCCTGTTCTTAGGAAATACACACTGAATCATTTAGAGGTAAAGGGCTATGATATATGTAACTTACCCTCAAATAGTTCAGGAAAAATGATACACATACACAGAGTGTGCATGCATTTGCACACAAATAATAAAACAGTGTAAAATTAAAACAAAAAGTCACGAACGCTTTGTCTTTTCATGAATAAAATTGGGATGTACATGAAGAAAAAAGAGAGGATGCAGTACGAGTGTCCCCATTGTCAAATCAGAAGACATCAGACAGAGTGGTACAGTAGCCCCAAGAAAGGAGAGGAAACGCAACCCTTAAACTTGGGATCTTACAGGGGGTATGGTCCTTGATGAGATTTGAGAGCCTGCAGGCCGAGGAGATGGCACAGCAGGGCCCTGGAGGCCAACGTGAAGGTGGAAACAGAGGACTGTGAGTAACAAGATATGACTAGAGAGTTGGGGAGTGGGAAATGAGGAGGAAGCAATGGAGAGCAAGATTGAAAACCTTGGTTAGGACCAGATCACTGGACTTGGACTTTTGCTATCTTTGGCCTTTTTTGAGCAGAGAAGGCATGTGGTCAGACTGGTGCCTTAGAAATACTAATCTGGACACCATGTGCCTGGTGGATTATAGTGGGAAGAATCTCGAGGCAGGGTCCAAGATATAGGAGATGAGTGTCCTGGGCCCACAGGAGAGAGAGAGAGAGAGAGAAGCCAAACTGAGCAGAATTTGACAGGACTTGTCCAGCAAATGATTGGATAAGGTGTGTGATGCTGGGGTGTGTGGTAGGGGTAGAGGAAAGAAAGATTGGCCGCCCAGGGGGGACATTTGGTCTTCAACCATTATTGGAACTGTTGGAGGAAGAGCATGTTTGGAGCAGATAACAAAGGCAGTTTGGGGTCCGCTGAGTGTGAGGCACTGGGGGGTGGGTAGACTCCTGCTAGGGCTGCCCCTGGGAACCTTGTCTCAGGGTGAGTGGTCAGGGTGTGTAGTGTAGACATAGCAGATGTTCCCTGGGGCCTACTGTGCTGTTTGGAGTTCCTTGGCCTGGGGACCTTTGCTTTGGGCCAGTAGATTGTAAACTGACAGCCTGAGGAAAAAGGCCCTTCAGATGGTTGAAAACCAGAAGGCCTTGCAGACAGCTGCTTCAAGGAACCATGAAGGTTTTAAATTGTCTATGAGGAGTTGAAAACGTTGGCTCAGTTTTGCTTTCTTCTAGTTAATCCTTTATGTTCCTGAGTTAAATAAGGAGTGGACAGACTTAATGGTCTGACTGAGACTGGAGGAACCCCGGAAAACATGGCCCCTGGATTCTCTATCAGCCCAGAGCTAAATCAGTTTCCGAGGCCAACTCTTCAGACAGGGATTGGACTGGACTGTGGGACATAAAGTGATACTCGTGAGGAGTGTGCCTCTTAGCTCAAGTAG